CCCCCCTTCCATCTGGATCCTTTAGCTTACAATTTTCTGTAAGGAAGTGGGTCACACCTGGCCAATACATAACTTCTAATGATACATCACTTTTCTTCTTATATTATAAGGTCTTAAGTCTAGAGACAGAGTACAGTTTCATCATTTCAAAATATGAGAGATCTTCCATGCTTTTCTAAACTGCACTGGGAATGCGGAAAGCAACAAAATGTTACACTCTCAGTCAAAATTCATCATTGTGCCTAAAACAGTGTGTACATGGTACTTTAAAGAGAAAGATAATGAAGGAATATAGTGTCTGTGTCTCGGTCTCAATAAACGTAAATAACGAGGAGAATAACAACGTGCAGTAAACGGTAAAACTGTTTGCACTACAAACCAGTGTGTTCATAATTAAGATAATACATTAAAATAATATGATAAGACACACCAACTTTCAATATCAAGCAGCAAAACGAACTGTTTTGCTCAGCTAAAAATAGCTGGACGGAGTGGACGCAGATGAGCCAGACCCATATAATTTACAAATGGCCGCGCCCATTTTTACGACAAGAAAAAGGTGGATAAGGGAAAGTAAATCTGCCTCTTCAATTCAGAACCTGATACATACACCCAGTTCTGTGTCCAGCCAACTCCAATGGTTTTGTATAGTGGTTAAGATCAGTGTCTTTAATGCTATGGTTTCTTTTGCTTTAACACAGGTGGAGTCCAGGTCTGATCAGGTTTGCTTCTCAGCAGTGAATGAGAATCGCTTGTTTCTTTCATCTCTTCTATGTAAGCACTGAATCATAGTATTTGAGAAGGAACTTGATTCAGACTTACACAGGAAGTACAACGTCATGATTGTAATGAAAGGTGAAACTGAATCGAAAATAATGTTAAATTACACAAAGTTTTAACTTAAGTTGCATATAGTTGCATATAACAAAATATTTAACTTTGAACAAAGCTCCATCACAACCATCATACTTTCTTTGCCCTTCAGAACATCAAGATGCTTTATTATTCAGATGTGGCCCTTTTGTTGTTCAGGAAACGTGAAGTATGTTCAGATATGTTGCACAGTAGCATTAACTGTAATAAGTAATATTTCTCCTCAAATTCATTGAAAAAATGGAGACAAAGAGTATAAGGCTGTAAAATGAATGTGTATAGCAGCTAATACACTACACAACTTTTGGTCCGACTTCATATTAAGTGTCTTTAAATGTGATCCTGGACCACAAAACATCTTAAGTTTTTCAAAATTGAGATTTATACATCATCTGAAAGCTGAATAAATGTATGTTAGGATAGGACAACATTTGGCAGAGATACAACTATTTGGAAATCTGGAATTTGATGGTGCAAAAAAAATCTAAATATTGAGAAAATCGCCTTTAAAGTTATCCAAATTAAGTCCTTAGCAATGCATATTACTAATCAAGTTTACAAAATATCTTCATGGAACATGATCTTTACTTAATATCCTAATGATTTTTGGCATAAAAGAAAAATCTATAATTTTGACCCATACAAAGTTTTTTTTTGCAATTGCTACAAATATACCCTAGCAACTTAAAGGGGTCATATGATGCGATTTAAATTTTTCCTTTCTCTTTGGAGTGTTACAAGCTCTTGGTGCATAAAGAAGATCTGTAAAGTTGCAAAGACTAAAGTCTCAAATCAAAAGAGATATTCTTTATAAAAGTTAAGAGTCAGCCACACCTACCTAAAACGGCTCGTTCTAACACGCCCCCACATATCTACTGGACGAAGCGGAGTCCAGCCCGGGGTCGTCACATGTGGTTGCCGCTCCTTCGTCGAATCCGCCGGCCTCACTGTTCTCAACCCCGTCGCCTCTGCTCACTCTAGCCCGGCCTCAGCTCACGCTAGGCCGCCGTGTTTTTCATTGTGAAAGCGAAACTACTTTGTTTGGTCTTCCAAAAGAGGACACGACTACAAATCAGTGGTTAAGTTGTATTTACAACACTGTTCCAGAACACTTCAACCCAAATATTCAGTTGTGTGCAGCGCATTTTATGGAGGACTGTTTCCTGATCCTGGGAGAGTAGACTACAATGCCGGCTGTTCTGACTCACAGACTGTAAGTACATTTTCATTTAAAGGATTTGCCACTGATGATTCAAACGCGAGTTTGGGCAGTGTAGAGTAGCACTTGTTTGTAATTTCTCCGATCACAAATACAGACATGGTTTTATATTTACGCGGCGCGATGCAACGCAACGCGTAAAAAGACAGTATAAGTCATTATAATCAGTAATTATATAAGTGCATTGTATCAAATGATTAATTTAAATGTAAGTGCATAGTAATTAACAACACTTAATATAAAGTAGGTCCCAACTTTTCAAATCTGAACAGTCTGTCTTACGATTCTAACTTCTTTATCAGAATTGCATAAATCTAAATTATGAGATACATACTCGCATTTCTGAGAAGTCAGAAATGTGAGATGTAACCTCACAACAGCAGAAAAGAAAGACAGAATTGTGAGATAAAAAGTCGTTGCTAAGAGACGCGTGACATGTAAGCAATATGTTATTCTAAAATCAGCTCAAAATATCAAACATGTTTGATATCTCCAACTGGATGGATTCATAGTCTGAAGCTAAAAAACAAAACAAAATCAGAGTCTGTGTCCATCATACATTACGTGATATTCTGTGAAATCTGGCTCTGACTTTTGGCAACTAACATCAACTAAATCGGTGCAAAAATTTGGGCAAAAGTTGTATAGTATATTCCAGAGATGAACATGAGATTACTTGGGCCCGTTGTTCAGAAGACAAATATGAGAAACAGGAGATTTAATATCTTTGCTCCGTATAGGAGGAACCAAATAAGTATTTATTTACCTGGTTTAAGCGTCATCAGTATTCTTTCCCACAGGATGAATTATCAGTGTCATTGTATGGCACGTGTTTGAGGCACATCTTTTCTCTCAGAAGCAGTACATTGGTCATGTCTGACTGAGACACGTTTTTATGTTCATGTAAGACGATGACTTTCTCTTGTCTCGTGTCTTTCTCACGTTCTGCCCACATGCTGCTCTCTCATATCAGTGTATCTATCAGCAATGCTATTGTTATATTTATGCATTTTGCTGACACTTTTATCCAGTGCACACAGTACTGTACATCAAAATATGTGTTCTTTGGCCAATTTTCTGTTACAGTTCATATATCCCAGGGACGCGGGAAGTAGGAGTGCTGAGGGGGCTGCAGCACCCCCTGTTTTCACATGGTTGCAAATGCAACACCAAGTTTGTTCATTTAAATTTATTCAGTTTTAGCATTTAATAATTTATTTGTAATGATCTCTGAAATGTAAATTGTAAGTGGGCTATAATAAACCCATGTTTATCTTTATAAACATGATTAATTTTACTTGTGATGTTTTCTATATGGAATGATTAGCCTAATCCTCTTGAACACGTGACGCTGGAGCGTGGTATCAGACATGAACTGTACAGAATGCGAACAAGATTAACTTTAATACAAGGAGATAATGGCGCAAAAGCGAATCTCAGATTTTTTTAAATGCCCATCCCAGCAAAAATTTTCCAAAATCGGCATCCAACACCAGCCCCAGCACGAGCACCGACGTAAGTGAACCAGCTCCACCACGAGCACGGAGCCTAGCGGACCCAGCCCAACCCCCGAGATTGATCAGCTACTATCGATAATTTCGAAAATGTGATATGCAGTCAAATTTCCCAGTGTGTATGTCACTTAAACGAGTGTTCATATCGACGCACCCAACACGGACACACACAGCACCCCCAACCGAAAACATCTTGCCGCGCCCATGTATCCCGAAGAAGGGGTCATATGATGTGATTTCAAGTTTTCCTTTCTCTTTGAAGTGTTACAAGCTGATTGTGCATAGAGAAGATCCCTGAAGTTGCAAAGACTAAAGTCTCAAAACCAAAGAGATATCCTTTATCAAAATTAAGACTCTGCCACGCCCCCCTAAAACGGCTCGTTCTAACACGCCCCCACATATCTACATCACTATGTGGAAATATTTGCATAATGCCACCCAAATGTGCATGCAAAGAAAGAAGGCGTGGTTTCAGTAACCGCAGTTAGTGTTGAAGCAGCCATGTCAGGGAGACGCTGTGTGTTTCTAGGCGAAAGCAAAAGCACTTTATTTGGCCTTCTGAAAGTAGATGCATTTAGGAATCTTTAAGATCACTTACAGCAGAACAGCAATGCATTTTATGGTCGACCGTTTCGTGAACCTAGGAGAGGAGGTAATTCTGACTTTGCTATGACAATCTGGCGCTTCTGAATCAGCTACTGTTTTGTTATTAGTTTAAGTATTTGCTATTGACTGTTCAAATGCGGAGTGTTGGGTCGTTCTTGAACGATTCGTTCATTTTGAACGAATCTTTAATGTGACTCGGGAAGAATGAGTCGTCTCGTCCTATAGGTTCTGTACTGGAATTGGTCAAGTAGTTCACCTGTTTCGAGTCTTCGGGTTTTTCAAGTCGTTCATTCATCACGTGACAGCCCCATAAGTTTAACCTATGCAGTCTGAGCCAGAAAGAGTATTGATTAGTTCATCTCGAGTCTTCGGGTTTTTCCAAGTCGTTCGTTCATCACGTGACAGCCCCATACGCTTACCCTATGCAGTCTGAGCCGGAAAGAGACTTAATAATAATAACCAACTCTTTATTTCCTTTGTTACAACATTCAGTGTTATGGGAAATAACCATAATGACAGAAATTCACACATTTATAAACTGTAAGAAATCAAATTTATTATAATGGGGCTGTCACGTGATGAACGAACGCGTCAAACCCAAAGACTTGTCAGATAAGAGGTGAGGTGAGCTAATCAAAGACTGAAGACCCAAATCTTTTCGGTTTCTTATTGCAGTTTTGTACGAGCGCGAGAGAGAGAAAGAGAGGGAGAGAGAGAGAGAGACAGGGTCACATCACAGTAGAGTCAGCTGTCTTAACCGCTTCAAATCATGTGACTTTTTGAGTGGATGTGTGCTATTACTTGTTTAAGTGGTTAGTCTTACAATTTTTAAAAAAATTTACAACCAGGTGGACAATAAAAGAGACATAAAACTGCCATTTTGCTTGTAGCACTATGTACAATTTCTTCAGAAAATGTAAAAATCTAGATTCATTTCAGTAACCTTTATTTTTTATTTGTTCTAAAAAAAAGGTGAGTGGTTCTTGTCCATTCAAAACCAACTGCCACAATGATAGAATGTTGTTATATAGGTTGTTACGATGTTGCTAAATGGTTGCAAGGTTGTTCCTGGTGGTTTTACATGTTATGAGGTCTCTTTAGGTGATTGCCAACTGGGTCTGGTTTTCAATGCAAATCTGTGGAAGGTTTTCATCTGATTTGAGGTACCACTCACCCATAGCACAGATGGTGCCGGATAAGTTACTGAAGTTTAATATTTATGGTTCAGGGTGTGTTCAAATCCAGTATTGACAACAGTAATACTTATCTTAGCAAGTGCCACTAAATATGGTGTTATGTATGAGAATATAATATCCTCTTTTGTGTTGTTTCTCATGAAATGGATGAAAACACAGCTCAGGAACTCTATGTTCGTGACGTGGATTTGTTTCTTTTGTTTGTCATGCCATGTCTTTTAAGTTATTTTGCAACTTAAAATAATTAGGTTTCCCATCTGCGTTTCATTTATAAATACATGTGCCATTAGATAGATAGAAAATATGCAGAGTCTCGTGTTGATCTTCATTGCATAGAGAAAGAGAACGTTTCTACATAATCGACTGATAAACGTGTTGCTTGTGACTGTGCATTGGAGACGGAAACCTTTTGTGGTTTTCTTGCAAAGTTCTGACTGTTTAGACCAGTCTTAAGAAACAGAACACTATAGCAAAATTATGCAAATTATTGCCAAATAAATTTTATATCAATCTAAATAATTAATGTGACAACTTTAGCAGCCCTAAAACATGCACATAAAATAAATATATAATAGCAAATAGTGGGGGAAAAAAATATATATATATATATTGAAAAATATTTAAGAAAACTGAAATGTAAATAAAAAAAATATTCTCAATATGTAATGCTTCATGCAGTTTATTAAGAGTACTAAAGGCTGCTATTGCATTGAGGTTCTCAGGCTGTAGGCCGTTAGTAAACATACATATTTTGCAAATTCATTGTAATATATCATCCAAAGGACACATATGACCTGGGGCGGACACTGAACAGTTCAGATTTCTCATCCTAGTTCTGAAGAGGTCCGCCCTACCCTTTATAAAACACACTGGTCCACTCATTTGGAGGCTTGCTGCTTAGGGGACTTCCTACAAGTGTTGTTCAAGTCATTATGCTACATTAACATAGACATTTTTCTTTTCATTATGATATTACTTACTTTTTGGACATGTAAACATTTGGGCTTCATGACATGCTTTGAGTATGAGACAATTAAAGTATGAATGCAAACTTCCTAATACAAAGGAAATGAATGTATAAAATAGCACACATTTAGAAATGGTTAACAATTTGATTGAAAAATATATATTTTTGCTTTCACGTTTTAAAGATCTTAAAGATACACATACATTTTTATTGAGACAATTGTTATAGGTATTGCTGGAAAACAGTATATAAATGTGGCGAGATGAAAGCAGAGAGAAGAGAATGGCCTGTTGTCTCCGTTGATGACGTCAGAGCTCCATCTTCTTTCATCTGTGCCCTTTGATTGAAGACAAAAAGACGTGAGAACCGGACATTTGTGGGCAGTCCAACTTTGATCATATACACTGAAATGTATATGGCCTATACATCATTCATATCGCATCAAAGACAATATCCTGCAACATTCTCATAAATCTTTAGTCTTTTTTTTCACACCATCTCATCACTTGACCATGCTACTACACACACACATGCACATACATGTATGTGTGTGTGTGTGTGTGTGTGTGTCTCAAATTTAAAATCACCAATTAAATGTAGTATAATAAATGTAGGATTTTCTTTCAAATATAATTTGATTTTTTTTCAGGTGACATTCCGACAGACTTTATTTGTATTCCTAAATGTTTTAAGACAAGTAACAAGACACTTTATCATTTATCATATCTGAAGACGAGTTGACTGAGATGCGCATCTGGAGTCCCAAGAGTACAAGTGTCATATTTTATTGTCACAGGCTGTACAGCAATAAACATGTCCACATGTTGACATGATACGCTTTATCTTATGGTGGACACAAAGGCCTCCAGTTTCCAATGCCCTGGGTAAGTCTATCCCATGAGATTCTGCATCTGTGCGTGATGACACTAAATGTAAACAGTCATAATTTATGTACAATCACTTACAATACGGTTTTAGGCCACACTTCTTCGGCCTCGATAGATCACTGCAGATATACACAGAAAGAGTCATAAGGAACATGCTTAGGAGAACATGTCATTTTAATTGTTTTAAATGTGTATATTTAAAAAAAATATTCATATATAATTGTTATATTAATATATCATATGTAGCGGGTTCTAGATGAGTTTCAATTAGAATACACACCCATTCCCACGGTGTTTCCAGAACAGGAGACTGAAAAGACAATGAAACATGGAAATCAGTCCATATACAGTAAGCCTGTAGTCTCTAGTCCAAAAAAATTTTTTTTTAATGATATTTTGTCATTATACAAAATTTAAATATGATTTCTCTGGATGATAAGACAATATCATCTTGTACCTGAGTAGAGTTTTCTGGGGCAGTATGTGACCTTCGAACCCTCCTGTGTTAAGGGAGCGACCACGACGGTGTACACTTCCCCACACAGGATCTTGGAGATGACACATCCATTAGCCCCATGTGTCGTACTGCAGGTGTAGTTGGATCTGGTGCCATACAGGTCGGCTGTGTAGTTGTACAGGCCAGGAGAAGAGCACCAGTACACCCGAAGAGTGCTGTTATTCATCCTGTAGAGTCTCACGCTGGGTGGACAACACGCGCCTGAGAGAGGTTACAGATAAAGAAAATGAGATGGGACGATGAAAGGTTCAGAAATTAAGTGCACTTACTCATTCCAAGTCTCTGAACAAATTATTGCATAAATCATTTTTAAAACCATTCTTAAGTATGGCTGAATCTATGCAAGAATGGTTTTACAACTGATTTACACAGACATTTTGCTTGTTTCTTTATTTTCAAATGTCTTATTTTTCATTTGTCTTCATTCATTTTAAATATAATTTAAAATCATACATTAAATACACAAAATGTCACATTATCATATATTAGCTTTTTATTTTATGATTATTTTAAGGAAAGCCTTTACTTGACTGTTTAATTTTGTGTTTTGTTTTATTATTAATAATTTAACTTTTTTATTTGTAATTACTCTTTGTTATTTTTACTGTCATATCTTGTTTTTTGTCTTTTTGTTTCTTATGTAAAGTGCATTGAGAAGCTAACTTTACAATTAAATGTAGTATAATAAATGTAGGATTTTCTTTCAAATATAATTTGATTTTTTTTCAGGTGACATTCCGACAGACTTTATTTGTATTCCTAAATGTTTTAAGACAAGTAACAAGACACTTTATCATTTATCATATCTGAAGACGAGTTGACTGAGATGCGCATCTGGAGTCCCAAGAGTACAAGTGTCATATTTTATTGTCACAGGCTGTACAGCAATAAGCATGTCCACATGTTGACATGATACGCTTTATCTTATGGTGGACACAAAGGCCTCCAGTTTCCAATGCCCTGGGTAAGTCTGTCCCATGAGATTCTGCATCTGTGCGTGATGACACTAAATGTAAACAGTCATAATTTATGTACAATCACTTACAATACGGTTTTAGGCCACACTTCTTCGGCCTCGATAGATCACTGCAGATATACACAGAAAGAGTCATAAGGAACATGCTTAGGAGAACATGTCATTTTAATTGTTTTAAATGTGTATATTTAAAAAAAATATTCATATATAATTGTTATATTAATATATCATATGTAGCGGGTTCTAGATGAGTTTCAATTAGAATACACACCCATTCCCACGGTGTTTCCAGAACAGGAGACTGAAAAGACAATGAAACATGGAAATCAGTCCATATACAGTAAGCCTGTAGTCTCTAGTCCAAAAAAATTTTTTTTTAATGATATTTTGTCATTATACAAAATTTAAATATGATTTCTCTGGATGATAAGACAATATCATCTTGTACCTGAGTAGAGTTTTCTGGGGCAGTATGTGACCTTCGAACCCTCCTGTGTTAAGGGAGCGACCACGACGGTGTACACTTCCCCACACAGGATCTTGGAGATGACACATCCATTAGCCCCATGTGTCGTACTGCAGGTGTAGTTGGATCTGGTGCCATACAGGTCGGCTGTGTAGTTGTACAGGCCAGGAGAAGAGCACCAGTACACCCGAAGAGTGCTGTTATTCATCCTGTAGAGTCTCACGCTGGGTGGACAACACGCGCCTGAGAGAGGTTACAGATAAAGAAAATGAGATGGGACGATGAAAGGTTCAGAAATTAAGTGCACTTACTCATTCCAAGTCTCTGAACAAATTATTGCATAAATCATTTTTAAAACCATTCTTAAGTATGGCTGAATCTATGCAAGAATGGTTTTACAACTGATTTACACAGACATTTTGCTTGTTTCTTTATTTTCAAATGTCTTATTTTTCATTTGTCTTCATTCATTTTAAATATAATTTAAAATCATACATTAAATACACAAAATGTCACATTATCATATATTAGCTTTTTATTTTATGATTATTTTAAGGAAAGCCTTTACTTGACTGTTTAATTTTGTGTTTTGTTTTATTATTAATAATTTAACTTTTTTATTTGTAATTACTCTTTGTTATTTTTACTGTCATATCTTGTTTTTTGTCTTTTTGTTTCTTATGTAAAGTGCATTGAGAAGCTAACTTTAAAGGTACTATTTATAAAACAAGTATAAATAACATTCATATAAATATTAATATGTATTATTATTATTATTTTAAAGAAAGAGCACAAGCACCTTTTAAGAAAAGAAGTTTGTTGGGTTTTAAAATATAAATTGATAGAAAAAAAGAAAATCAGTTTGAATTAATAGCATCTAGAGTAAATGTCTATTAACCAGTCATGTGTTTGCATATGCTGAATCTGTAGTGATTCATTTTGTGTTTTGGTTTATTAATAATTTCCTTTTTTTACTTCTTTATATATATACTGTATATTTATAATTTTTTTTTCATATATGAATTTAGAAACTATCTTTTAAAGGTGCAATATATAAAAACAAAGATAGACAGATAGATAGAAAACTACTTTACTCACTAGCAGAGAAGCCATGGTAACTGCACTCTGATTTATGTCCAGTAATGCTGAAGGCCTCCAGCGACACATTGTAGCTGGTGCCACATGTGATGCATCCCAGCAGGCAGTGGGTGTCCATGGTGTGACATCTGGCGTGACCTCTGGGGGATGTCAAAGAAGGGACATAAGACCCTGCCCCTGTGGCAGTCGACCAGGTGATGTTCGTCATAGACTGGGTCACCTGTTCAACACTCAGAGTTTCTGGACAACAGGGTCCTGGAGAGAGAAAGGGGACATTTTTATATCGCTTTCAACCATTATTTATCTATCTATCCAGATGTTTTCCATCTTCATTACTGTACCTGTTTCCAAGGGAATGGAGTAGCTGGGAAGACTCTGTCCTGCTGTGGTTGAGGCGTAGGCGCTGACCTCATATGTGGATCCGCAGGACACTGATGTAACAGGAAGTGCTGCTGGATGAGCAGGTGAGCGTGTCGGTGAGACCCATGGCGATCACAGTGTAGTTAGCCTCAGCGTTTGTAGCCATCCAGAATACCTCCACTATGGAAGAGTTCACCTGAGTCACGTTGAGGATCACAGGGGCACAGGGAGCTGAGAGAAAAAGAAATAAGATAAATTTCATAAAAACTGATACCATGTTACAGTGATAAGATCACATACTATGACAATACTGTAATATTTTGAAATACACCATGGAAATGAAACGAATGTTATTAATAATTATTATAATTATTTTAGGAAAGACTTTACCGTTTTCATTTTGTGTTGTTTTATTAATAATTTCATAAATTTTTCCTACCCATGTTAATATTTTTTACTAATTATTATTATTATTATTTTTTTTTAATAATTTTTAAATATGCTTTATTACTTTAAGTCATTTCTTGTTTTTCTCTTTTTGTTTTTTTATGAAAAATGCGTTGAGAAGCTACCTTTTATATAAACATATTCATATTTATATAAATTTCATTAATGTTTTATTTCATATTAATCAAAATAATATATAATAATATTATTATAACTTTGGGTATTATGTAATTATAATATATGATAACAATTTTGATGATAATAATAATTATTGTTGTTGTTGTTGTTGTATTTGTTACTGTATTCACATGTTAGTCAAAGTACTTCAAAAATACCATGGTACTACTATGGTAAATGTACCACAAAACATGGTATTCCATGGTACACTAGTATCTTATGTTTTTTGTGTTATGTAAAGTGCACTGAGAAGCTACTTTTAAAGGTACTATGTAAAAGTATATTATTAATATTTATATAAATATGATCAATATTTATATAAATATCATTAATATTTATAATAATAATGTAATCATAATAATATTATTATAACAGTATTTTGGAAGTATTTTGAGTACCTTGTAAATACAATATTTGATAATAATAATATTAATAATAATTTGTGGGCTCATGTGCAAATGAGCATTTGTGTGTCTGTCCGGCGTGTATGTGCACTACAGGTGTTATTGCATCCTTGTGTCTCACTGCAGGGCCGCACCACCACGCTGTACAGGCTGTCGCAGGTGAGATCAGAGAGCGCACACACAGGAGCCGTGTCGTTGCAGTGGATCCATTCGCTTCCGTCTGCAGCGATCGTCTCATACAACTCAGCTCCTCGAACTGGAGACCACGAGATCTCTAAAGTCTCTGTGGAAATCAGGGACACGGACAAATCCTCTGGACAGCAGGGGACTGAGGACACAGAGAGAGATGCGTATCATATATCGTGTGCAAAATTGTTCAAATCACTTTGGACAGAACCATCTGTTAAATAAATAAATGTAAGTCTATGTGTATGAAATACAAACTTGTAGTATAGTTGACTGTTTGACCCGGTGGACTGGACCCTGCCAGGTTATAAGCGAATACTGTCAAGAGGTATGTGTATCCACATATGCACTGGAAGTAGCAGGTTGTGCCAGTGGTGTTGCAGTTTGCCTCTAAGCCGTCATCTCTCTTCACATAGGCGATATAGTAATCCACCCACTGAACCTCAGACCACGAGACAGAACAGTTCCCTGTAGTCGGCTCCTCAATCCACACCAGCTCAGGAGGACATGGGACTGAAAATGATTCAAAGAAGACAACAACCAACTGCACAACTCTTTATTAATGCATATGTGCGGTTTTATATGTGTGCGTGTGAGTAAAATCTACAGGTGAGAAGGTCCTGTGGAGCAGAAGGGTCACTGGGTCCGGCCTCGTTCTCCGCTGTGACGGTGATGGTGTGGTTCTGGCTGCAGCTGAGGGGACTGATTATGCAGTAGGCGTCTAAGGATGAGCTGCAGTTCTGGCCCATTGAGCTCACAGCAATGTATTCGTTGGCACCACGGACTGTCTGCCAATACACCGACAGTTCGATAGAGCGACTCAGCATCAACAGAACCTGCACAGGTCCCGGGACAGGAGGACCTGTAGAGGACAGTGGGACAGAGAGAAAGTGAAGGAAATTTGTGAATTTAAAGAGAATGGACCTTTTTCACATTTCAGGTTTCTTGGCAGCGGAAGTCGGCATAGTTGGGTAAACTTCTATAGCAGTGACTGGAAGAAAATATATTTTTTGCATTCCCATTGGCTCAAATAGCAAAAGTAAAACTCCACGATAGTGTTT